CTTTGAGGAGCGTGTGATTCCTAAGAATCTCAGTTCGTTTGGTCAACAGGAAAGGTCAGAGAAGCCTTTGTAACCAGCCGACTTCTCTGCGGTTTCATTTTACATTTCAAGCGCCCTGTGTTCTAACATCACCCAACCGAAAAGAGACACTGCAGGTGTAATAAAGGAGGAGAGGAAACGAGATGAAACAGCTGGCACATGTTGGCCACCATTAAGAGCTGCAGAACTGCCTGGTATTCCCAAGAATTATGACGTGCGCGATCATTCCGAAGGGTGTAATCACGGCTTCTGGGAGAGGAGCCACCGGGGGACCAGAGAGGCAGCTCCTACCCAACAAAAGGGTATCTGTTTGGCCCCTGAAGGAAAACTTCAAATGACCCCCAAATCCAAACGGTGTAAGGTCGACATCTTCTAATGAACTTACAAACATAGTCCTTCTAAGATAGACTCTGGCCCCGTTCCCCTTGCTATCTGACTTTGGAGAAGCCTCTTTTGAAGTGTTCTGTGTCTATAAAACCTGGATAATAATACTATCTCCCAGGTGGTTGGAATTGTAGGAATTAATTAGTTCCAGCTGGAAAGGTCTTTGATAATGTTAAGTGCTGGATGTTGTTATGATTATAGGTGCAGGTGGAGGCAATGTTTCGTAGCACGTCTATCATTAGAAAGGCCTAGAAACTGCAACGGGTGCCAACACCCAGGAGTCCAGGAGACAATGCCCTGTGTCATTTGCTCCCTGGGCAGAAGCCGGCTTGCTGCGACTGAGAGCCTCATTCCGCCTTTTGTCCTCCTGGCAAGGCTGGTCTTGGGCCTGCTCCCCGTGGGCACTGCTGTACTAGGTTTTACTAGGTGCACATCCATGCTAAGGCCACTTTCTAAGTGAAGCGCCGACACTCTTAGGTCTGTGATGATGCTTGTGACTCTCTGAGTCAAGGGAGTAAGTCAGTCCTCCCCCAGAAATCCCTGGAAAATGCAGACGGTCTCTCGGCCTATACAATAAAGGGAGAGGTCTAAACCTTCTTTCAGAGAAGAACAACTTCGCTTTCTTCCCCCCAAACAGATTTTTAAAATCACAAAGTGTTATCTGGGATGTAAATAGGTAAAATAGATAAAAACTGAGCTTTGGCAGAATGGAGGGCTCTCCTGAACCCTGTCCCCCCATGTCGCCAGGCTCCTCCCTCCCCACCTCCCAGTCTGCACCCGCTCCATGCCTACAGGGCCCTCTCAAGGGACCCTCCCTCTGAGCGGTTAGGAGCCCAGCTCCCAGGGGAGGAAAAGGACGGAGGAGAGAGCGCAGTGCCAGGCAAGGGTCAGACAGCCAATCCGAGGCAGGTGCGCCCCTGTGACCCTCCACGAGAGGATCATCTTCTAGGGCAGAGATGGCGAACCTTTTGAGCTCGGCGTGTCAGCATTTTGAAAAACCCTAACTTAACTCTGGTGCTGTGTCACATATAGAAATTTTTTGATATTTGCAACCATAGTAAAACAGACTTATATTTTTGATATTTATTTTATATATTTAAATGCCATTTAACAAAGAAAAATCAACCAAAAATATGAGTTCGTGTGTCACCTCTGACCTGCGTGTCATATGTTCTCCATCACTGTTCCAGGGAGCTGGGCCAGAGAGCTGGACCTGAGGCACCAAGGGAAGACCCCACGGGGAGCCCAGGCCTCGGCTGTTGCCAGCCCATTCCCGGGCTGTCCCCACAGGAAGGGCCCCGTGTCCTGCTCTGGGACACCACTTCACCTGCACCCCATGCAGGGCATGAGCGCCCCTTCCCCGCCACTGCCACAAACTCACAAACCTCACCAGGTCCCTTCTCAGGGGACAGGATGACAGGCCCCTCCCTCTCCTCTGTCCTGTCCCCGAATCCCCCCCTCCCATCCCCCCACCCCTCACACAGTGTGCTCCAGAAGGTGCTGTGGGTGGAGCTTGTCCCAGGGAGGCGGGGTCTCTAATAGACTGAGCACTGAAGAGAACACACTCGAGTTTGTGGACCCTGAGGTATAATCAGCTGATAGAAAGCAAAAGCATATTTGCATTTTAAAACGTGATGAAGCCTAATAAGTAACTCCCTGATGATGACATTTCAGAAGAACTTATTGTAGACTGGGGTTTTCCTGGTATTTGTGGCTTCAGGTGAGGCAGTCGATTTCCCTCTTTTACATCTAAACTTCTCAGGTGACCTCCCTGTTCTCTCTCTGCTTTTATTTCCTGGCCTCCGGTTATTCTCTGTACTAGTCCATTGAAACAGATTTAAAAATACAAATTAGCCGAGACCGGTTTGGCTCAGTGGATAGAGCGTCGGCCTGTAGACTGAAAGGTCCCAGGTTCGATTCCGGTCAAGGGCATGTACCTGGGTTGCGGGCACATCCCCAGTAGGAGATGTGCAGGAGGCGGCTGATCGATGTTTCTCTCTCATCGATGTTTCTAACTCTCTATATCTCTCCCTTCCTCTCTGTAAAAAATCAATAAAATATATTAAAATAAATAAATAAATATATTAAAAAATACAAATTACATTATCACTAAATCCATCGTTCTTTCATTAGAACGCCTCCTCTTCCACCTTTTTATGGCCTTTACATTTTCATATCATTCCTGCCGAACTGAACAGCTCTTATATGGAGCTTTAAGTAACACTATGCTGGTTTAGCTGCCCTCCCACTTTTCTGTAGACTCACTTTTTTTTTTTTTAACCTTTAAAGGCTTTTCTTCTTTTGATCTCTTAATTGTATGAGTTCTTCAGGCTACTACTTGAGCAAATAATACCTGTATTTAAAATGGTTACTGGTACCCCATTCTTTATGCCTTCACAAAGTGTGATCTACAGAACGCTATTCCCACAAGACTGCCTTAGAAAACAAATGTTCAGAAACACAGGGGAAGAAGTCTCTCACTGCACATTCTAGAGACTAAAACTGAATACTCTCCCCTGATCTTACTTCCAGATGGAGTGACCACATGACACAATTTTGGCCAATAAGGCAGAAATTGAAGTCCATTGACCCTTTTTTCCTGCTTTTCCAAGGACCAGAAGCAGGCACTGCAGTGGACAACTTGTGATTTTGAAGGAAGGGCGAAGTGAGCTGCAGCGATATCAGCTTCCACACTGCAGAGCCCTGATCCTGGGCAGCAGCCTCCTGCCTCCAGCGTTCTCGTTACATAAGAACAATCCCATTTGTTTGCATTTCCAAATCAGGTGATTTATACCTCCCGACTGATATAAAAATGCAGCATACTATCGTCTCTCTTGGAACTTGGGAATGCACATTAGAATATTAAAGGACCTGAGAAAATATTTAAGAGAAATCTGTTGGATTTTGTTTAATGAATCATCTCCTAAATTCATTTGATTAAGGGGTCCTTTTTGTTGTGTTGGTATCAAGGGGCCCTTTTATTCTTGTGTTAGATATTACTATCCCATAGGGTTACAGTTCCCTACATTCTTGATTTTCAAAGTGTGATCCCTAGAGCAGCAACTTCTGCTATCATCTGGAAACTTGTTAAAAAACAAAACAAAAAAACAGAATCCTAAAAAAAATTCCACACAATCCTAGGCCCCACCATCCACCTAATTAAAAGACGTCAGCTGAGCCCTCGTTGGTTTTCTCAGTGGTTAGAGCATCGGCCTGTGGACTGAAGGGTCGCAGGTTCAATTCTGGTCGAGGACATGTGCCTCGTTGCAGGCTCTATCCCCGGCCCTGGTCAGGGCACATGTGGTGTGTCTCTCTCGCATCGATGTTTCTCTCTGTGTCTCTACCCCTCCCTCCCATTCTCTCTAAAACATCAATGGGAAAAAATACCCTCTGATGAGGATTAACAACAAAAAAATGTCAGCTGAAAAGTTTAGTTCTCCCAGGAAGCTTTTCTGATCCTCTCCCCCAAACCAGGGCAGGCCCCCTGCTATACATGTCTGAGGCACATACTTTTCCTTCATTTTTATCTGCTTTTAAAATTATATTTTTATGACTATACTAGAAGCCTGGTGCACAAAATTCTTGCACTGGGGTGGCGGGGAGTCCCTCAGCCCAGCCTGCACCCTCTCACAGTCTGGGAGCCCTCAGGGGATGTCCAACTGATGGCTTAGGCCTGCTCCCCATGGAGAGGCTCCCGCCACCACCACTGCACTCACCAGCCGTGAACCTGGCTTCTGGTTGAGTGGCACTCCCCCTTCGGAAGTGCATTGACCATCAGGGGGCAGCTCCTGCATTGAGCATCTGCCCCTGGTGGCCAGTGCACGTCATAGCGACTGGTCATTCTGCCATTTGGTTGATTTGCATATTAGCCTTTTATTATATAGGATGGTTAGTGTATGTCTTACTAAAAACACCTGAGCTTCATGTGGGCTTTAACTGGATTCTCTGTGCCTGATTCTTGTTGGCACTAGAATATTTGGGGGACTATCTTATCCTTAGTCTCGCTTTCACTCTCACTTTAAAGGTTCTCTCTTTACCTCACCTATTCACGTTCTAGCCAGAAGAACCTGTAGCATGGTGGCAACATATTTCATTTAACATCAGAAGGCTTGGATGTGAGTCTTTGTTCCCTTACTTACTAACTTTGTAACTATGAGCAGTCACAAAATCTTAGATCCATAAATTCTCAGCTCTGTTCATTGGGATAATATTACTTCACAGGGTTGGTATAAACGAGGCTTCTGAAAGAAGAGTATAACCTACATAAACATCCTAAAAGTATAAGATATGTTTTCTAGTTATTATGTGTTTATAAGATTTCCAGCTTTGTAGTCAGAGACCTGAGTTCAAATCCCTATTCATAATATTTATTGTCCATGCAGTTGATTTGGTAATCCATTATTTGCTGAATTTTTTAATGTGTACATTCAACTGCATTCATACTTAATTTAGTATGTATTTAAGCTTGGGTTATCTCTCAAGTTGGCATATATTCTATGCTTTTTATTTTTTATTCAACTCATTAAATTTTGTATTCAACTCATCATATCCTTCTTTACACAGGAATGCAATCAATATTAACATAATCTACATTTATTTGGTGAATATTACATAAAATTTCTGTACATTAAGTAACAAAGACAAGTAAGAATGAAAAGTAGTACACAACAATGACCATCATCATACGTGTATAAGTTCAGAATTGTTATTTTTCAATTCACTTTAAACCAACATGATTGCAGAAGTAAAACCCCAGGGGGAGCGATTAAACAATATTTGAAATAAAGTCATTTGGCCTAATTTTCATAACCACGGATTTCAAAGAATACCACCATCCATGCCAGGTGTGCCAGACAACCCCATTGTCCGTTTTATTGCTATAGGGGCCCAGGTAGTACAAGCCATTCAGGTTTGCAGAGTGACACCTAGTGGGAGAAAACATAAACACAGAACAATCAGACCAGAAAAATATTCCACCACCCTTGTAGTATTTTGCTAGCAAATGATCAAAAACAACTTTATGAATTCTTCCATTTCAGACAAGAAAATATTTATCAGTTTTCAGAAGCCAAGATATTCTTACAACAGATGGTTTTTTAAAAAAAAAAACTGGTAGAATTTAGCACCATAACAAGTCTGAGGATACGAGCCAGGACACTTGGAGTGAGCATATTGATAAAGAAGCATTTCTGTTCTTAACAGCCTTTAAACAAAAAAAGAAAAACAAGCAAACAAAAGCCTAGCTTTGTGATCCTCGGCCTTGGCAAGAGTGGCAGTGGGTTAACGCAGCGAGGTGTGGCGGAGTGCTCCACCACTGCTCCCTGCCCCCCCATAATTTGCACTGACACATTTATCCATCTGCTGCCAAGACGCCACTTTCATAATTCCAACTCTTTCCCTCCCCCTTTAAAAATTGATAGCATATCAATATTTTAACCTCAAGGATAAGAAAACAAAGACTAAACTCACAATTTAAAGTTTCCCTAGCCGGCAACCAATAATCATTTGTCCAAGTTGCTGAGTTAATTTTTTACTCTAATATATTGCTCCAATCTGGGTAAAGTGGTTAGGTTATCATGCATTTTAAAAAGTTCCCCTTCTTCCTTTAACATCTATAAACTAGAGGCCCGGTGCACGAATTCGTACATGGGTGGGGTCCAGCTGGCCCACCCTGATGGGGGCCAATCAGGTCCGGGCCAGCCAAGGGGATGGGCTGGGGAGATTGGGAGGGGGCCGATCGGGTCAGTTGGCAACTGCAGTGTGCCTCATAGCGATTGGTCGTTCCGTTGTTCCGGTCACTTGGCTTTTATATATATAGATTTTGTCCCTGGCATGGACTAAGAGTATGTGCAGTGTTATGAAATGAACTGCTGTGTATTTCTTTGTTGATATAACCAATGAAAAGATGTCGGGCAATAGGATGTAAAGAGAACATTCACAAAGAATAGTTCTAACATCTATGGAAAGCACCCAAATTATATGATTTTACTGAATTTAAAAAAAACACACACCATATAATTTGCCCATAAATGACAAGTGGTTGGCTTGGATCATTTACCCATTTGGTAATTCACTACTGCTGACCACCCTGAAAGTCATCCTAATATAAATAGATGGAACTAATCAAAAAGTACACTAAATTTGAAGTGTCAATAGGGTACTGTGTTTTTAAAACTGCATGGAGTGTGCCTCAGTGATTGAGGGTCCACAAAGGAACCAAGAGGTCACTGGTTCCATTCCGGTCAGGGCACATGACCTGGTTTCTGGCTCAATCCCCAGTAGGGGGCGTGAAGGAGGCAGCCAAACAATGATGTTTCTCTCTCATTGATGTTTCTCTCTCTCTCTCTCTCTTCCTCTCTCTGAAATCAATAAAAATATATATATTTAAATGTAAATAAATAAAAGAAAAACTATGTGACAGAAAAAATTAATAAGGAGGAAGAGGTTGATAAAGTTAGACTACAGTAGTAGCAGGCACAGTAGAAATAACACTAAACTTCTGGAAAAATTGGCTTTTTCTCCAGCTTTTCTGATTTCCCACCTGCACAGCCTTATCATCTCCTCTGACTCCAAGGATAATGCAGGTTCCTTGGGTGGCCAGCCACTGAATTGCCTTTGTCGTCCCTGAACCCTATCTTTAAAGTCAGATAGATAATGCAGTTGCCCAGGTTCACATGTCTGCCAGCATCATTCAAACACAATACAAGTCGAACAACTGAGCAGATACATGGTTTTGATCTTATGCTAATATTAACCGATGTAATTGTGATGTCTGCATATGGAATTCTGTTCGAAACTAAACATGAAGGGATGATTGCAATTTGTAAATTATAGGTAAGTTTTACACAACTTACAAGGACAGGGGAAGAAAAAGGAGGAGAAAGAGAAGGTGACCAAAGATGGTTTCTAAAAGAACAAGAAAATTGCTAGGGAAAAGACTGTCATTGACTTTGATTCTCTAAGTAGGAAAGATAACTTTGTCTCTCTGACCCTTCTCACTGGTGTATGTGCTTCAGTTCCCTTACAGATGATCAAAAAGTAAATACATTCGAACTCTTAGAAAAGCAAAATCCAGAGAAAATACTGCTTTATAACTGCTTAGATTTAACTTGACCCTACCTGCAACTAGCTGTATCCCCTAGACCAGTGGTAGGCAAACTCATTAGTCAACAGAGCCAAATATCAACAGTACAATTGAAATTTCTTTTGAGAGCCAAATTTTTTTAAACTTAAACTATATAGGTAGGTACATTGTTATTAACTTAATTAGGGTACTCCTATGGCTTAGGAAGAGCCACACTCAAGGGGCCAAAGAGCCGCATGTGGCTCGTGAGCCGCAGTTTGCCGACCACTGCCCTAGACTATACAATTCTAAAACCTCACAGTAGCAGATGTTCATAATGAGGACTCTCCTGGTTTTAGGGAAAATTAACATATATCTGGTATACCTCCACTTTATATGGTAGATGATTCTTAAATGCTTTATTAAAAATGCTTACATAAAAAATGTGGAAAATGTGGATTATGAAACTTGTCCTTGATTACATGGACAATCTGACATTTCAGAAATAATTACGTACCATACTATAATGGAAAGTTTAAATGTCCAGATATTGTGAGGTGGCCCCTGTTCTTCTAAAGAGAAAAGATGTTTAAAGCTGGTGTACTGCCTAACAGGTTGAGCACATCTGCTTTGCAGATCAGGCCCATCAGCTTATTTTAAGGATGGTTGTATGAAGTTCCCATGCCTGCCTTGAACATGTGATTACAACACAGGGAGCTGTCTTGAAACCACTTTGGGTGGAGAAGAGTTAAAAGAATTGGGGATATCTGGCCTAGAGAAGAGAAAATATGGCAGAATACAGTGAATACCATCTCAGCCAGAGCCTGAAGACTTATGTTGAAAAGGAATTACAATTATTTTGTAGCTACTGAGGAAAAAACTGGCAAAGTATAAGAAGGCAGATGTCAGGTTAATAAAAGCAAAAACTTAATACAATCAATAATGGAGTGAGCTTGCTGATTAAGTAACATTGCAGTATTCCATCAGAGAGTGGAATTAGGTTTCAGGAATATGGTAGAGGAAATTTCTGCATTGGGAGGAGCTTGGGTTCAATGATTTAATGAAAGTCACAGTAATTGAAAAGTATTATTACACAGAAAAAATTACAACAATAGCATGGCCATCTCCTATGAGAAGGGAAGGTGAAGAGCTACTTGGTTACTAAAAGGCCTGAAAATTTTTTTCCAATATATAAATACTTTCTTTTTCTTCATGCCTACTTTCTTCAATTTGTGGCCTACTGTTTATGATAACAAACCCATAAATCAGGTTGCTAACAATTTTTTTAAAATTGATTTCAGAGAGGAATGGAGAGGGAGAGGGAGATAGAAACATCAATGATGAGAGAGAAGCATTGATCAGCTGCCTCCTGTTCGCCTCATACTGGGGATCAAGCCAGCAACCTGGGCATGTGCCCTTGACCATGACCTCTTGGTTCATAGGTTGATGCTCAACCACAGAGCCACACCAGTCAGGCACATACAATCTTTGTAAAAGCAGTAATTTGATTTATTTCTAAGACATATCTTTCATGCTTTATTAACATACACAATGAACGAATCCTCAAAAATACTTCATCGGTGAAGAATTCTAATAAAGATGATTACTTAATAATACTAGTATTACAAAGAAGACCAACATGACCTCATACAGATATAATTAATGCCCCACAGTGAGATACCATCAACGCCATTACACCTATGTTTATAAGACGTCAAACCTGTTAAACCACCAGCCGGACTGATCTTCCTCTGCACAGTTGCCTTCGTAGTTGTCATGATCTCTGTCCCATGTGCTGAATTTCATTCTTTGGTGACTACCCCACCATTGCACCTCAGGATGAAATCTCACTGCAAGCGCGTCTCCTGCTGTTCCGGAATATTCCCCGATATTCAACTCATAGGAATTCTGGAGGAACAGAGGCAATTTCTACTGTCAGTTGTCACTATTTAAAAAGTAGATTTATGTAATAAACAAAAGAATTCTATTGGTATGTGTTTGTTTCCATTGACTTCAGGGGTTCATCTTGTATGCGTTATGCATTAATTGGTGGTATTAGTTATTTGAACATTTTAGTACCTTTTCATCTCCAACTTTGAAATTTTTGTATTGGGCATAACGGCTATTTCTTTCAAAATCTGCAAGGTCGATTTTTAAAGTGTAGTCTCCTAGAAAAAAAAAACAACAACAAAAAATCGTTAGTGGTTTCTTTTTTATTTATTTATTTATTTATTTTTTAAATATATTTTATTGATTTTTTACAGAGAGGAAGGGAGAGAGATAGAGAGTTAGAAACATCGATGAGAGAGAAACATCCATCAGCTGCCTCCTGCACATCTCCCACTGGGGATGTGCCCGCAACCCAGGTACATGCCCTTGACCGGAATCGAACCTGAGACCCTTCGGTCCGCAGGCCGACGCTCTATCCACTGAGCCAAACCGGTTTCGGCAATGTGGTTTCTTTTTTAATGTATTAGATGACACTGACTTACTGAGGTTTAAAAAATTTCATGGCCCTAGCCAGTTTTTCTCAGTGCATAGAGCATTGGCCTAGTTTCTTTTTCTCTATATCTTAGCTTTAAACAGCCACATATTAGAAAGGGAATTATTGCCCCAAAGAGACCATTGCCATCTGCAAATTAGTTCTATTGTCTATGATTTAGTGAAAAACATTTCAGTGTTGTTTTTATTGTATTTCCAATGAATATGATACTAGGCAAATCTTACCTTGTGTGGTTAATAAGTGAAGATTTTTATTACCCAGCCAATATTCACCATTTTTTTGGACAAAATTTCCAAAGCCATTTTCGTAGTCATTCCAGTCTCTACAAAATTGAAAGTGAAAGCTGATTTTAGCAAAATCCAAATAGAGCTTTGCAGTACCCAAGGTGCCCACACCCCCCTGCTGCTGCTCTCACATCCAGTATTTCCTTGGTTTGTTAGTGCACGTTCAGTATTCTTACTTAGAGAGAGTGAGAGTCTGTCTAATTAGTAGAGTTTAGGACAGGAGAAAAAGGCTTACTTATAAATCTCACATGTGCTACTCCAAACAAACCCTTATGTCCTAATTAGCACACCTGTTAAAGGTCTCACTGCCATCAGATCGTCTCTGAATCACAGTCCATCCTCCTCCATCAGACATGTCACAGTAAACAGAGAATTCTGCTGGGCTCTGGAGAGGTTTGATTTTGTAAAATCCACTGAGCTTAGAACCATCATTGAAAATTTCTGAACAATCTGTTTGCAAAACAAGGTAATGTAACATTTGTTATGTGTCTTTTAAAAAAAAATAAAAAATAAAGGGCGCCTCTGAATGAGATTACTCAGTACTAATGGAGATAGATAAACACATAGCATAGATAATCAGCTTTTTAAAATTGCATCTTGTACATTAGGAAAGCATTTCTTTTTCTAGTATTTAATTATCCTCTGACTCCCTGATATGATCATTTTAAAAAAAGGAGTGAAATAGGGATCTGCTTTTTCATTTCTAATTTTTGTGGAACACAATTTTTAAAATGATATGTGTTCAGTTGATTACAGTTTATTTAAGGGGAACTTACAGATTTATCAGACAGAATAGTGGAACTTATCTCTCCTCTGAAGCTAAAATAAAAAGTAGAATTATAACACCAAACAAGTCATATGGGTTATCTTGACTTAGAGCATTGCAAATCATTCAGAAAATCTGGAAATGAACTCAAATAATAATCTTTTTAAAAATATATGTTTTAATTGATTTTTAGAGAGAAAGGAAAGGAAAGGGACAGAAAGATAGAAACATTGATGAGAGAGGAACATCATGGATGGGTTGCCTCCTGCACGCCCCCCATTGAGGATCAAGCCTGAAACCTGGGCATGTGTCCTGACCAGGAATCAACTGCCGACCTCTTGATTCCTGGGTCGATGCTCAACTGCTGAGCCACATTTGTGGGGCTAAAATCATAATCTTGTTAGGTTCTTACAACCTTCCAGTCTCATTAGATGTTTTACTAAACCACTGACATTTCTAATAGTCCATGTGTTCTTATATATTTTTGCTGAAAACTGAAAGTTTCTACTATTCTTATCTCAGCATTCTTTTTTAGCCAGGGTATGTCTTTGACCATTGAAGCAAATATAGCTACCAGTTTGTCACTAAAAAGTGATTCCTGTTTCTTTAATCACTTGAGGATGAGACAAGTGAATATCATTAGGTCTCATTTAGGCTGATCTGTGCAGACTTAAAGAATATGGCGAATACAAACTAAGCTTTGGTTTAGATGCCCAGGAAGCAATGTTTTAAGGTGAAGTATTGGTTACTATACAGAGATAGTTTCAAGAATACTCATTCACAGACTTTTGAATAAAGACTATAATATGACATCACTAACTTTCAAATTTTACTCTTACTATTTTGTTAATTTCCTATATTTTAAAAAACATTTTATCTTCCTGATTGGATAATTCTATCCTTTCAGCACACTTTTAAGTTTTTTCTTCATTTTCATTGTTTTGACACCAAACTATCTACAACTCTGCTTTGCTGCTAACAAAATATACTCCACTTTAAATAGATTAAATAGGCAATAGGAATCAGGAGAGAAAGGAAACAAAGAAACTTGGTCACTTTCTAAAGCCCTCCCCAAGTCGAAACCAATCACACACTATTGCTTTGGTGAGATGATCATCTTTGTAATGATTTAAGCTTTGTTCACATATTTATTTTTGAGATTCAGAAACACAAGTGTTCTTGATACTCCTGAATTATAAAGAAATATCCTGTTTTGTCAATCAAACAAGAGTAAAACATAGGGAAATAATTACCTAAAATTAGTTCAATGTTTGTTCAAAAGCTTACATCTTGTGGTCAAATATATTGTAGGCCACTTTTCATTAAAGAAGGAAGTTCTTTAACTTTCCTTGTTAAGAAAGCTTTTTGCTTACATTTAACCTCCTACCAAAATGCTGAATAGTAAAGTCTCATAAGGTTCAGACTATTTTCCAGGCAAATATGGAAATAATTAGCTATAACGTTTGCATCTGGAAAACTTTGTGAATATGGAGTTTTCAGCCAACATTTCCTATTTGTTTTTATTTTATGCCAAGTGTGAGTTTGTTTGTGTGTTTTTCAAAAAATTTCTTCTTCCCAGAGGAAAATGTCAACTACAACTTAAGATCCAGAGGAAAGCTTTCAAGCAGGGAAAAAACAGCACAGAACAACACCCGACATAAATGACGTACGCGCCTGTAGCAAAACTGATTATAACAAATAAGATAGGAGCCTGCCTTGGGGAAATGCGACTTACACACTAACTGGGTAGGGTTTTCAATATGAACTAAAACTATAATTTTCAAAATGTTTTGAGCTACTCAACCCCCCTGGAGAACAGGCAGGAGAAGGTCAGGGTTAAAGAGCTCTGTGTTCGTGGGATTTTTGGAAATTTACATAATACCAGAGTGAGGCCAAAGCTTCCTGCCCCATTTGACAAGCGCTGCCTTAAACTGGGCGAGGTGAATACTTCCTTTGACCATGCAGAAAACAAACCATGTTGGAAGTCTGAATGTTTAAGCTTTTCATAAAGGAACACGACAACCTGCCAAATGGGCTCTTCCCCTTGTCCCAGAATGCAGGCTGAGCTGAAAGCCGAGAGCTACAGGCATCAAGAAAGGCCAGCAAGCCCTGGCCGGTTTGCCTCACTGGTTGGAGCACTGGCCTGTTGACAGAAGGGTCTTGGGTTTGATTCCCGGTTCCCGGTCAAGGGCATGTACCTCAGTTTCAGGTTTCCCAGCCCTGGTGGGGGCACATGTGGGAGGCAACTAATTGATGTTCTCACTAGATGTTTCTCTCTTTTTCTCTCTCTCCTTCCTCCCTCCCTTCCATTTCTTTCTCCTCCTTCCCCTCCACTCTAGGATTCAACGGAAAAAATATCCTCTGGTGAGGATTAACAGCAACAAAAAAAAGGCCAGCGAGAGGCCCTTCAGCGGGCATGTTGGGAAATGCCAGAACTGGCTCTCCCACTGCCATTCTCAACCAGGCGACATAAGAAGGAACCACAAGAGCCCTAGCTGGTCTGGCTCAGTGGATAGAGCGTCAGCCTGTGGACCGAAGGGTCCTGGGTTAGATTCCAGTCAAGGGCATGTGCCTAGGTTGCAGGCTCCATCCCCAGTAGGGAGGGTGCAGGAGACAACCAATCAATGATTCTCTCTTATCATTGATGTTTCTATCTCTCTCTCCCTCTCTCTTCCTCTCTGAAATCAATAAAAATATATTTTTTTAAAAAAGAAGGAAATATAAGAGGAGGACCTCTTATGGTTCCTGGGAGAGTGCAGTAGTACTCTTGTAGGGTCGGATGAGTGCGCTCTCTCTTCTGAAAACCAGGGAGAGAGCATATACAGTAGCTCCCCCCTTATCCACGGTTTTGCTTTACGCCATTTCAGTTACCTGTGTGTGCCATTCTGAGTCGTGTGATGAAATCTCTGAGTCCCACTACGTGCCGCCTGGGATGTGACTCATCCCTTTGTCCAGGTGTCCACACTGTAGACACTCCCCAGCTGTTAGTCACTTAGTAGCCGTCTCTGTGATCACATTGACTGTCTCGGTATCGCAGTGCTTGTGTTTGTCACCCTTATTTCAGTGATAATGACCCCAAAGTCTAAATAGTGTTGTTGGCCATGTGGATGTGCCAAATAGAAGCTGTAAACTGCCTCCTTAAGTAAAGAGGTATGTATGAATAGAAAAAATATAGTATGTATAGGGTTTAGCACTATCTGTTGATTCAGGCATCCACAGGGTGTCTTGGAAAGTATTTCCTGAGGATAAGAGGGGATTTCTCTAATAGCAAGATAGCTGACATTCATTGAGCTAAATGCTAAATGCTTTTGTAATCACATACATGTACGTTAACTCATTTAATCTTTACAACAAATAAACAGGTATTCTTTTTTAAAATATATATTTTTTTATTGACTTCAGAGAGAAAGGGAGAGGGGGAGAGAGATAGAAACATCAATGATGAGAGAGAATCATTGATCAGCTGCCTCCTGCACGCCCCCTACTGGGGATTGAGCCCCCAACCCGGGCATGTGCCCTGACCTGGAATCAAACCATGACCTCCTGGTTCATAGGTCAACGCTCAACCACCAAGCCACACTGGTTGGGCTCTTCTCTCTCTCTTTCTTGCACCATTCTCATTTTCCTCTTTTCTCTAGTTTTGATCACGCACTTGGGGTTTTCATCACTGCTTCCTCTAACCCCCTCCCCCAGCCCTGATCCCTTTTCTGATCTAGGGGCTAAAGACAGAGCAACAGGGGCTGAGGGTGACAGCAGCAAATTCAAGGGCATGTGGGAAGTTGCATCAAATTTAAATGGCAGCCTTAGCCAGTTTGGCTCAGTGGATAGAGCGTTAGCCTGTGGAAGAAAGGGTCCTGAGTTTGACTGCCGGTCAAGAGCACATTGCCTGGGTTGCGGGCTTGATCCCCAGTGAGGGGCATGCAGGAGGCAGCTGATCCATGATTCTCTCTCATCATTGACGTTTCTATCTCTCCCTCTCCCTTCCTCTCTGAAATCAATAAAAATATATTTTAAAAAAAGAATTTTAATGGCAAGGACTTTACATCCATCTGTTGTAATGTACCCCTCGAATCACAGAAGGATGCCTCAAGAAGTCGAATTAAAGAGTCACATTTATTGCAATCCGGGACTATGAGGGGACATTCCCAAATCTCATAGTAATAAGATGGTGGCAAAACCAGACTTATATAGGCAAAAATCACAAAGGTATTGATTACATCCCAGGGTTTGGAATGAGGCACCTGGCTCGCAAAAAAGCAGATTACAGAAGCAGAATTAAGCATGTTAATTACAGTTTCGGGTCTCGGGGTCACTGAATTGACAGAAATACATTATCTAGAGCCTTTGGGTAACCTGGGTTAAAGTTAGGCATGTTATCTAAATTATAGTTCTGGGTCTCCGGATCACTGAGTTGATAGAAACACATTATCTAGAGCCATCGAGGCAATTTAGAGTAATTGCACTGTCCTGGTCTTAGGACCACTGAGTCAACTGGAACGCACCACCTGTGGCCACTAAAACAATTTAGGGTAATTGTGCTGTCCTGTTTCCCAGGTACAGAAGAATGTGCTTCGATAACCAGTAAGATCACAATCAATGGGATAGTCATTCAATCAATAAGTCATTCAATCGAATGGGATGACTTATACAATTTAGAAAATCAAAGTAACCTGTCCATTGTTAAACAAAGCAAATAGGTACCATACTTCACACATCCTCCCCTAGGAAATTAGAACAGGATAGAGATAGATACGATACAAAGATCTGCTCATTTTTGTCAGGACCCCTTCCAGTTTTATACACAGTTTCTTGTGTGACACAAATTTACCTTTGAAATATTTTTTTAAATGATAGCTATACCGTGAGCACTTACTGTGTGGCAGGCACAGTTCTCAGTGCTCTCATTCATTTAATCCTCACAATAATCCTATAAACTAGCAGCCATTATTACCCTCATTTTACAGCTGAGAAAATTGAGGCATGGAGGAGTTAAATAACTCGCCTGAGGACATCCTGCTAGCAGGGCTGCAATCCCTTCTTCAAACAATAGGCAGGACAACCCTAGTTTCAAAATAGATGGTTAATATGTGTTTGGGTGACTAAGAGCAGGGACATCCAGGGAGGGCAGATCCAGGCTGGTCCTCTAGGAAGATTCTCTGACAACAAAGATCCTTCTAGGCTTTCTTCATCAGAGTCAGCTTCCCCAAAACATGCTAATTTTATGGGCTGCCTGTCTGGTCTCACAGTCCTTGGGAGCTCTGACTAAAGGCACTTCTAGTTACCTTTCTTTATAAAGAGTGTTACCTTTCTGGGCCAGAAGCTGATATCTAAGGCAATGCAAGGTGTGTTAACTTGCCATAATAAAATACCATAGATTGGGAAGCTTAAACAACAGAAATTTATTTGCCCACAGTAGTGGAGCATGGAAGTTCAAGATTAAGGTGTCAGTATGTTTGGTTTCTTCTGAACCCTCTCTCCTTGGCTAACAGATGTCTGCTTTCTTGTTCTGTCTTTCTGTGGTCTTTCTCCTGGGCACCCATAGCCTCGCTATCTCCCTGTGTGTCCAAATTTCCTCTTCTTATAAGGACACCAGTCAGATTGAATCAGGGCCCATCCTACTGGCCTCATTTTAACTTCATCACCTCTTTATAGGCCCTGACTTCAAATATAGTCACATTCATCGTGCTGGGGTTAGGGCTTCAATGTGAAGATTGGGAGGTAGAGGACAGAATTCAGTCCATGAGGCAGGGTCATCAATCAAATGGCCTTCTGACCGTTCTGGTGATCCGCTTCTCTGTGAATCATTTCTGTCCTCCACAATGATTGACCCAAATAGCCCAGGGAGATCTTACAACCATTGCTTGTTTACTTTAAAAGATGCCTGGAGGAAATCAGGTGAGTAGTTTTCTGTAGGTAACAATGATATGTTCAGTGCTGCTTCTAGGGGGAAATACTGGCCTCATGAAAAGGAAAGTCACCAAACTATAAAATATACACATAAAACAACTCTTTTATTTTCCTAAATAATTTTCATTCCTTTTCTTTTTCTAAACGTTTATTCTATTACCTTACTTATTTCCCTAGGGCACATCAGAATTCCAGAAGGAAAAACTGTGTAAATGTACCAAGAAAAGATACACAAATAAAAACAAAGCTCGCCCTAACCGGTTTTGCTCAGTGGATAGAGCGTTGGCCCACAGACTGGAGTCCCGGGTTCGATTCCAGTCAAGGGCATGTACCTTGCGGGCTGGATCCCCAGAAGGGGGCATGCAGGAGTCAGCTGATTGATGTTTGTAACTCTCTCCCTTCCTCTCTGTAAAATCAATAAAAATATATTTTTAAAAACCCCACAAAGCTCAATTGTAAGGTTTTGCAAACTGATATTTTAACAATCTGTTGTCTTGATCTCTTATTAAACTATAGAAATCCTCAGATATTGAGCATTGATATTAAATGTCCCCTGCAGAGATAACAGAAAAAAGGATAAAATATGGTGGAAGACATTTAAATTTGATATAATGCTTTATGTTGCTGGTTACTGGAATAAAAAAGCTCTTCAGCAAAACCTGAAGTGATCAAGTGATTAGCATCATCATTGCACATGGGTTTATATAAGTTACTGAAACACTAAAGAAAAATAGATTCTGACCTGCATATTGCCTCTTGCCTCCAAGGTCAATGACACTGCTCTCCTCTCCTTCATCCAGGAACTGGATTTCGTTCTCGTGCAAAAGCTGCGCAATCTTGACCTGTTGTTGTTTGACCCGGGTCTCAAGCAGGTGCACCTGGGCTCTGAGACGCGCCTGCTCCTGGAGACAGTTCTCAAGAGCCTGCAAAGTAACGTGCGTGTTGTTCTCATGGAAAATAAGTGCTCCTGGTAAGTTGGATAAATTAATGATTCAATTTTGTTCCCAACTCCCATTTCAGAATATTATTCCAACCAGGAAGTTGTTAAAACTTCTAATACTATTAGTTATTTGAAGGATAAGAAGTCATGGCTTATGCTAACGTGCTTGAACTAAAAAATGTTATAAAATAATCTGATGATTACGCTAAGAATTTTAGAGTCACTGTCTCATTTGACCCTCATAACTTTCCGGTGGGAATGGGTTCAATCCCGATGAGGAAACTTGCTCAGGAATTCCCAGTGGGCAAGAGAAGTCAAGATTTAAATCCAGCTCAGGGTTTCTATTCTCAATCTCTACATGACACTAAGTGCCTTCTCACAAGTGAAATAAATGAGGTTTTTGAATGATCTTTTGATATTAATACGTTTTAAAACTATAATTGAATGCTTATGATCTTAGACATATGGTCACCTTTATAAAGAATGCTTCATTTAGACTCTGATATTCTTGAATATCTCACCCATTGACCTGTTGCTGAAAATTCTACTGGGTTCACTTTAACTTTTTGCTTACTTATTGTTTTTTCCTGAATCACTTTAAAAAGGGATGGGAGGAGCCTGCGCCTTCCAGTTCAGTCATTTATCTTCTCTGAAAAGGCAAATAACCCAAGAATATTGCCTGTGAGAGTTTATTAGCTTCTTTCTAAAGTGGCATCTGACTGAGCAAACCCTCCAAAGAGAAAGCCAATGTGGTGGGTGAATGGGGAAGGAGGCTTGCAGAGCTGGGTCTCCTGGGAAGAGGGACTGGGGCCAGGAAGCTGCAATAAAGCTCAAGAGTGCTCAATGCTGGGAGCGGTACTAGGGGGAGTGGGAAAAAAAGGACAAAAGACAAATTTTTGCCATTTTTACCTTGACTTCTCTATTTGCAGCCAATGTCATGATCTCCTGTGGTACATGCAAATGTTCACTTCTGAGAAATTATCAATTTTAATGTGTAAGTGCTTCACACTACTTTTATATACATTAATTTCTAAAGTGGGCATTTGTTTATAGTCAGATATATTTCCCAATTTACATTTGCATCACTTCCTGTCCCTGTCTTTAAGGGCTACCTTGTATTCATTCCATAAATACAAAAGGCCCTACTGCGTTCCAGGCCCTCTGCTAGGCAGTGAGAACAGCACAATTTGATAGCCTCTTCGGGACAAAGGAAAGAGGTACAGAGCTTTCCTATGGAGGATTATGGTGTAAATACAGAAGTGTACCTCACCACTAAAGGTCACATCACAAGAGAATGGAGAAGGGGAAGTAGAGACCTCCCCCCACCTCCAATTTCCTGGCCCAAGTACTGACTCTCTCCCAGCTATTTCTCTAGGATTATTTCTTATTTGTTCTTGGTTTACTCTCTTTGGTTTATCCTCTTAGCCCCCTGAGTCACACCTGTCTAAAAAAAATGAACAGCAAAGACATTTGATGGTGTCTGGCATTCCATGTTGCTTTCTAATAGTGGAAAATTGGTTGTGATCTTGTTAAATGCAGTGGACTATGCAACTTAAAAATAACTGAAGGGATTACAGGGCAAGTATGTTCAATCTGTTCAATGTTTATGAGACTGGACATACAGTGTTAGTAAGCTTATTTAAAACCTAGGAGTTTCCTTTCTCCCAGAACTGTGAGTAAATGAGTATTTTTACCTTTTTACTCGTGAATGGAGGAAGGCATGAGTTCATTGTAATTACTTTCAAATAATCGGTCTAGCTTATACTAATAGTGTTCAACAGTAGAAAGTTCAGGGTCCATTTTACTGGACAGTTTTAAATTCCTAATGTTAGGTAATCACCTAAATAACCCCAGTAAATTAAAAAAGAGTTTACTTATTTGTTGTCAATACTGATTTTTTACTTCAAAAAAATTTTAAAGCATGTGGTAAGTACCTACTAGTATTATGTGGCAGGTGCTGCCACAAACCTTCATTTCCACCCTTTAGTTAAGTTCTTCAATGTGACAACTTACTATCAATTTTCTGCAAAATAAAATAACATGCAGGTCAAAGCAGGCATTACAGACACAACAATAGTCTTTTTATGAGCTTACCCAGCTTGCCTTGCCAGTTACCAGAGCAGTGGTAACAAGGATGAAACTGAACATCTTTGCCATTTTCCCCATTGAAAGGACTGCAAGAACAAGAAGAATTTCATAAAGTTATTTTCTGTGAATTTTTCATGAGGGCAGGGTTAGGGTCAGACTCAAGGCCATCCAGAAGGCGGGATGCAGTTCCAGGTCACCTGAGTGTCGCCGGGGAAATTCTCCTGGACTTTGCCTGGCTTCCCCCACAGAGACCGATCCTCTCACTGTACCTCAAATAGAATTGAACCTGTTCAGTTGCAAATATAAAGGAGGGGCTCTGGGTCTGTGGGTGGTCCGTGCGTGCTGCTTGTACACCTGTGCTGAAAAGGCGCCGGCTCTGTTAACACCACACAAAGGGTCTAGATTTTCATTGAGCTGCTTCCTAGTTGTGTGGCCTCAAGCAATTTACTAAAAGGCTTCCCATCTCTAAAATGGAAATCCCAATTCCTACTTTGTAGGACTGTGGCCATTTTGATGTAAGATTTTAAGAATACCCTGGCATGTGATAAGTGCTAGATGAATAGTAACTCATTTTGTAGAAGACAGCTTTTATTTTTAAAAGAAAAAAGTTACAACAAATAGAAGGTAATGTACATTGTTTGCCTTAATGTTTAGGCAAACTACCAAGGTAATATAAAATCTTTAGGCCCTATTTGAAACTGTGGAGGAAGATTCACTTTACCATTTCTCAAGATTTTTTTAAATCAATCTTGAAGTCATTAGTCTTGATGAGAAATTTTGCCCATCCTCAGAATAACTTCTGTGTCCTGCCAGTGGTGAGGTTTTTTGTTTTTTTAATATGCTATTATTGATTTTGAGAGAGAGAGAGAGAGAGAGGAAGGGAGAGGGAGAGAGAGAAATATCAATGTGATAGCAGAATATCAATCTGCTGCCTCCTGCATGCCTCCCACTGGGGATCAATCCTGCAAGTGCCCTGACCAGGAATTGAACTTGCAACCCTTTGGTGCATGGGATGACACCAACCAACTGAGCCACAATTGCCAGGGCAGTAGTGAGTTGTTGTTTTTTTGTTTGTTTGTTTTTGTTTTTAATATATATTTTTTATTGATTTCAGAGAGGAAGGGAGAGGGAGAGAGAGACAAAAACATCAATGATGAGAATCATTGATCAACCGCCTCCCGCACGCCCCCCACCGGGGATCGAGCCCACAACCTTGGCATGTGCCCTTGACCGGAATCAAACCGGGACCCTTCAGTCCACAGGCCAACGCACTATTCACTGAGCCAAACCAGCTAGGGCAGTAGTAAGTTTTTATACATTTTAGAAGCTAAGGAGCCTAGAAGGACAGAAATAGCTGTATTATCTTCAAACAAATTGAAAACATATGGTTTCTGTTTTTAAAAAAAAGAATTGGAATCAAGTGACTTATTTGTTAGCCAATTTTTTTTTCTTATAGAACCTATGATCACTAGGTCCTTTTAATGTGTCTCTGTCTCAATTTTTTATGTAAATGGTTCCTAAACTTGGCTATCCATTAGGGTCTCTCAGGAGCTTTTAAATAATCTCCATGTCTAAAGGTGGCAGCCAGACCTTGGAATTTTTTAGACTCCCCTATGAGTGCAATGTTTGGCAAAGATTGCGAAGCAATCACTTAAAGACTGAATAGACAATATATGTTTAGTCTATGTTAATAAAGTAGGTAGTTCTTAGTCCTCCTGGGGCCAGACAAAATACTTACAGAATAGGAGAGGCATTACTTACATTCAGTCACAAATAAAATGCATGACCTTTTTGGGAAGCATTGTAAAATACAATATGAATTGTTAGAATATGTGAAATGTGTGCATTACAGAGAGTAAGAAAGAGTCTGCTAGATATAAACTGTATAATCTTACTTCACACATGATTACTTCTGGCTGACATTTTTATAACTGTGTACCTAGAACTGTGCTATGCATTTTATAAACCTCATACTTAATCTTCAAATAACTATACAAGGCAAGTACTATTATTCTCATCAAATAAATTAATTTTAGATCAGAGAGGTTAAGTCACTTCCCTAAGTTCACATAGCTGGTGTATGGAGGACCAAGCAATTGAGCTTTCCACCGTGAAGGCTTGCCCCCAACCTGTACTCTATTTGGCCTTCCTCTCTACATACATACAGCGTGGGGCAAAAGTAGACTTACATTTGTGAGTACATGAAACACAGAGTTTATTCTTGTATTATTATTTACTAACTAGAGGCCCGGTGCACGAAATTCGTACATTCCGGGTAGGGGGTCCCTCAGCCTGACCTGTGCCCTCTCGCAGTCTGGGAGCCTTCAGGGGATGTCCGACTGGGCCTAAGCTGTCAGTTGGACATCCTTAGTGCTGCCGCAGAGGTGGGACAGGCTCCTGCCATCATCGCTGCACTCGCCAGCTATGAGCCTGGACTCTGGCTAAGCAACACTCCCCCTATGGGAGTGCACTGACCACCAGGGGGCAGCTCCTGCATTGAGCGTCTGCTCCCTGGTAGTCAGTGCGTGTCATAGCCACCGGTTGTTCCACTGTTTGGTCGATTTGCATATTAGCCTTTTATTATATAGGACTAGAGGCCTGGTGCATGAAATTTGTGCAAGAGTAGGCCTTCCTTCACCCGGCTGCCAGCACCAGCTTCCCTCTGGTACCCAGGACCCGGGCTTCCCTCGCAGCCCCAGCTTTGTCCGGAAGGTCATCCGGAAGGACGTCCGGTCTAATTAGCATATTATGCCTTTATTATTATAGATTATTGTATTATTTTCCATACACCCTGAATATCCTTGCTGTCTACAGGGACATAGGCTGCAGCGAGGAGTAGAGGCCCTGTTACTTGGCCTTCTCCACTGAACATCACTCTCACTCCTGAACATGGCTGTGACTTATTTGCTCTTGAGTCACATGCTTCTCTAAAGGGACATTAGGCCCACGTAGCGGGAGAGGAGACAGCTGCACCGAAAGCCGAAGCAGTACTAGGGAATGGTTGCATCAGCAAGCATTTACTGATCACCTGCTATCTGCTCAGCACTATGCTAAATGCTGTGAGAGAATAAAACAGCTGCCTCAGCGAAGAGGTGTTTTGAGGAAAAAACAAAAAAAATAAATATTAAAACGGAAATTAAAGACAATATAAATTATGTAGACATGACACTGTATGTAATTAAATATAAAAACTAATTAAGACCACCCCTCAAGAAAAAATTAATTACTTCCTCCACTGTGATCACACACTATATTTATAGACCAATATAGCACTCAGACCAATTATTCACTCAGTAAACATGGTATGCATGCCTGCTGTTTCTAGGCACTGTGCCAGGTGATGGAATTCTCATTTAGTCAGCTCTTCCCTTCTTTCTCCAACTGCCTCCCTTTATCCATGCTATTTTGCTTAGAGCAAGGCTTTTGAGGGCAAAGGCCACAGCTTGCTAATTGTCGTATCCCCAGCATCTAACCTACTTTGGCAACTCAGATAAAAGTGTAGTTATTGCCTCTGCAGAAAATATTCCCCAGGAGGGAAAATCTTTTACCGAGGGGAAAATGTGATTTCCTTGCCATAAATCTGCGTCTGTTTATTCTGATGCACTTCCTCCTCTACCCTTACTTTGGTCAAGGGGAAAACAACGGGCTGAGTGCATTTTTGAAAGTAAAGGTTAAGGAGGAGGTAGGGACTTTTAGTTGGACTGAACTCATGAATTTAGTTTTTCTTTCTCACAAAACCCTACTCCAGAGCCCCCTTGAGTCTCCTGAGTCTCTTTCTTTAGTGCCTACTTGTTCCTTTCTTAACATAGTAAATCAAACGATAAGAAATGACATATGTTTGAACATTTTTGACCGACGAAATTGGAAATTTCATAGGATTCAAATTAATACATATTGGTTAGATGGAAAAAACATACTTGAAATCATCGTAGCCTTTTTGCCAAAAGGCATAAGTTAAAAATAAAATATTTGCAGCTTATATAATGAAAGAAAACAATTTAGTAACAGCCTGTTTTTATATGAATGCTGCTGCCATGTGAATACATTAATATACATCAATTAAAATATATTCTAAAATTGCTAACACATAGTCAACATGTGGAATCTTATAGTTCTGCCATAAGTTAATCCTCAGGATGTCTATAGAAAAGAAACTACCGCTTTAAAAAAATTGTTTTTATATCTATGTCTGAGTCTGATTCTTGCATAAGTAACAGTGTTAAAAATGCTCTGGGAGATACTAGGAAACTATATAACATGTGTTCATATTGCTATTCATTAGATTTGCTATAAAATAAAAGGCCAAAGAAATACTTTGGCAGGTCTCTGCATCTCAGTGTCCTGAAATTCCTATTTCATTGCCATTAAGATAATCAAATCTGATTTTTCCCAGCAAAAGGAGGCAGCCTCTAGTCTTCAGATCTTTAAACAATAAGACATTTCAAAATGTCATATACATTATGTTAATTTGACCACCTTTAGAATAATTCCTGAGGCTATCTTAAATCCGCTAAAATTCTGCAGTGCCCTCATTTCTCTCTCTCTCTCTCTCTCTCTCTCTCTCTCTCTCTTCTTTCTCTCTTATTTTTTTTTTTTTACCTCACATCTAATTCTAACCACCTTCTACAATATTGAAGAAATGTTTAGGTATTAAGAAACTTGCTTTGAAAATCTGGTCTTTATTATTCATCAGTGTAAACCATTATTATTCTGCAAATCTGGCTTGTGGTAAAGTTATATCAGATCATTTAGTTCTTCACTATGCAACTGGTTGTATTTCTTTTACAATATTTTTGCTTTGGGCTACTTCAAAACTTTTAATTATTGTAAAATAGTTTCAATTGCCTATTCTTTCATGTACTCTATTATTTGGTAGAGTAAACTAGTCTAAGTCTATAAAGTCTAATTTCTTCCCCACTAAAATTTTTTAAGTTAGCTGACTCTGGTGGATTAAATTTAAGTATGGAACGTAAAAGTTCAACAGCTGATATTTAACCTTTACAAACACAATTATAAAAGCATGTAGAATTTCAAAAAATGGTATGTTTTAAATGATCTACTATGGAAAAAATACAAGATAAGAGAAATTTTAAAAGAAAGGAAAGGTTATCAAAGAGAGCATATTTAATAAGTTAGCATTCACAAATGGACTGCACGCTTAATGTAAGACAGTTCAAAATTTACCCATGACATGGATGTAGAGATTGTATATGCTATTTTCTTCCAACTTTTTTCCTTTTTGAAGAATAGAAAATAGCAATATCTTTATTATCTCAAGAATTTATACTAAATGAAAGCTTTCAAAGTCTAAATGAGTTTATCCCCAAAGATAGAAATAAAGGAAAATATTTCTGAAGTTTTTACTTCTGAAGTGGAAATTATAAAATGGTCCATTATTTCCCACTTTGTATAATGAAACTTCAAATATAATTACTCGCATCAAATTCCCATTCAATTCATCCACAATGCACTGGGAATGGGAAGGAGCTAGAACTCGAAATCTCTTTTCCAAGCTGTAGAAGCAGCCTTTTCTCTCATCGATCTGACCTCTCTCAGTAGCTGACGGTTGTTTATTGAGTTCTGCTGAACATCACATCTGTGAAATAAATGAGCATTATTACAATTATGTCCAAAGCAAAGAGATGTTAAATACCTTGCTTAAAGTCAGAACCGAGTCAGACACAGCGCAGGCTAGGTCAGGCCACTCTGCAGGGTCCTTTAACTGCATCAGGATTTGTAATTGTTTCTCCGTTATTTGATTAGAAATACGGACGATGTTGATTCTGGCTTTAATCCAGAAACAAATATGTGAGGAAATCAGTTTAACTGGAAGCAAAACTAAAAGAGGAGATTCAAGGACAAATCCCAGTACTCTGATATTTTTCTCCTATTTGTATGAATTTTTATGAAAGATCCAATAATATGTCTTCACAAAAATACATCTCTGATTTTTAACCTCTTATTGCTGGGCTCATCAGAGAAGTTTTGTAGTTTGATTAACTTCAGTAATGCTCACTTAAAGCTTAAATAAAACCAAAGTTCAATTGAAGCTTTGCTTTATAGTACTAATAATAATGATAAAGTTTTACCTATAAAGATGTGAATTAAAATGTCATTTCAGCTACAATATAATCTAAATTTTTCTTAGTTATAGAAATGGGACAAGTTAATAATTGCCAAGGTAAAAGAATCAGTTTATTTGATCTTTAGGAAAGCAAAAGGATTCCCTGAAGGGCAAAATTGTGAAATTTATCTGTAAGCATCAATAATCTCCTAAACGAGTTGTTCCTTTTGTTTTAAACTTTAGAGCAGTGGTTCTCAACCTTCCTAATGCGGAAACCCTTTAATACAGTTCCTCATGTTGTGGTGACCCCCAACCATAAAATTATTTTCTTTTTTTTTTTTTTTTTAAATATATTTTATTGATTTTTTACAGAGAGGAAGGGAGAGGGATAGAGAGTTAGAAACATCGATGAGAGAGAAACATCGATCAGCTGCCTCCTGCACACTCTCCACTGGGGATGTGCCCGCAATCAAGGTACATGCCCTGGCCCGGAATCGAACCCGGGACCCTTGAGTCCGCAGGCCGATGCTCTATCCACTGAGCCAAACCGGTTAGGGCCATAAAATTATTTTCGTTGCTACTTCATAACTAATTTTGCTACTGTTATGAATCGTAATGTAAATATCTGATATGCAGGTTGTATTTTCATTGTTACAAATTGAACATAATTAAAGCATAGTGATTAATCACAAAAACAATATGTAATTATATATGTGTTTTCCAATGGTCTTAGGTGACCCCCGTGAAAGGGTCGTTCGACCCCCAAAGGGGTCGCAACCCACAGGTTGGCGACCCACAAGTTGAGAACCGCTGCTCTAGAGCATTTTTGAATGTGTAAGAGGTGACTTGTTAGCTCCGTTAGCCATATTGCATAATAGTTCAGACTGCAAATCCTGGTTCATCGTTCCTTTTTTCACTCTGATGTTACCCAAGCTGTTGTTTGCTATTTGTTCTGTGATCCCTATTTCTTAACTCAGATTCCAGTAACATACTGAAGTTGTGTTTTCTCTCTGTTCTTTGTTTTCTGGACTCGAGTACTGCCGGTGTTTGGCCTTCCCATTGAACATTTTCCTGTCATTCACTCAGGAAATTTGAAGTTCATCCAGGAAAAGGTAATCCTGATGATTTACTGGAAAGAAAAACAGTTAGAGGTTGAAGACATGTACACACCCAGGAGAAGAAGATACGATACATTCATAATTATAGTGAATCCAAGATGCTGACATTACATTTCAAAAGCATGGGTTTGCCTGATTTGATAATTACCTCTACGATGAAATAAAATAATTTGAAATACAAACCTATATTTTCCTCCTTGTATCCCTTTTGTCTTTTCCCCAGTCAAGCATTTAATAACTGCTGTGCTCACTTCCTCAGAGGAGGGACAGTTATAACATAACAGTAACTAACATATGGCACATTTATTATGTGCCAGACATGGTATGTTCATTAAATAACTCAGCCACAACAGCCCTATAAGCAGGTATTGCTAATACCTCCGTTCCACAAATGAGGAAACTGGGTAACAGAAGTTTAAGTAACTGGCCCAAGGTCACACAGCTAGAAAGAGGTTGCCAGGATTCAAAGTCTGGCTCAGAATCTGTGCTCCTCACTATTAAAAACAGACAATTCTGTCCCTCAGGGACATTGCCTCAGAGAAAAACCTGGAAAAAGCCAATCGAAGGGCAGAATAAAGGTCAGTGTTCTGGGAAGGCATGCCAGAGACTGAACTTACTGAGAATGTTCTTCCTTTAGTCCTGGGCTGCTCTGTCAAAACATGGTGGAGGACTGTCATCAGGAAAGGTCAAATTTTCGACCTTGTATGATTGCACCAAAGGTATGAGATGAGAATGAGACCAGACATCACTGGCGGAAAGAAGTAAGATAACTTTTTTTTTTTTTTTTTACTGCCTAGAACAGTGATGGCGAACCTATGAGGTGACACGCGAACTCATTTTTTTGGTTGATTTTTCTTTGTTAAATGGCATTTAAATATATAAAATAAATATCAAAAATATAAGTCTTTGTTTTACTGTGGTTGCAAAGATCAAAAAATTTCTATTATGTGACACGGCACCAGAGTTAAGTTAGGGTTTTTCAAAAGGCTGACACGCCGAGCTCAAAAGGTTCGCCATCACTGGCCTAGGAGATGGTTTGCATGGGAAAGAAACTGGAAGTCGATTGATCCTCCAGGAAGTACCAATAGATTATGCTAAGGTGGTGAGGATGTAAATGAAGGTGATGGCATTGAGGTTGTGACAACGAGGCTGATGAAGAGAGTTTGGCATCCAGGAGGAAGAATCAATAGGACTTACCATTAAGGAAGCGTAGGGTGAGGGCAAGAAATGTGTGATAATGCCAAGACTTTGAACTGGATAAATAAATAAATAGCGGTCTTACTTATATGCTCTTATCTTTTGTCATATAGGTAAAGTCTCTGGGGATTGGTTCTATTTTTAAATGTGGTCATAAAAGTATGAATCATCATGTGTTTTCCAATGAGTTGGATAATATTCTAAAATGAGATAATATTTTAAGAATCTAAAAGCTGGAGAAAAAGTACACATAGAGATTGGATTTAGGTATCTGAACAGAAAAGATTTATAACAAACTTATTGAAAGCAGAGAAGCCATACTGAGGACTACGGTGAAAGCAGACATCTTGAGTTACCGCCCATCTTCCTTATGCGCACAGGCGTATTTTAAAATGTGGTTTTACTTAACATGTGCTCTTATTTTCTTTTTCCTCCACATATTTTTACACAATATAGCTGAATTTCTTCATGTGTTACATGTAAACAATCTGTTTTCTATTAGGATTTAACATTTATTTGGTTTCAATGGTTTTGTTTTTAATGATGTGATCTTATGGGGAGATTCTTGTTTAATAAGAAAGATGTTATTATTTAGAATCATAAAATATATGCCATTCTGAAGTCCTTGCCTACACATGGAAAAAAAAACAAACCCAAACATTCCTTGGCAGAATTCTTTTTGTTCTTTGCAGGGGAAAAATTGAATAAGAAAACATCTTTTGCACTTTGTTAGGGAACAATTTAGAGTTAGTTATATTCCAGTAGAAAAAAAAATCAGATAGGTGTGTCGACTGAGCACAAAAAGTGAGAAGGCTTGATAGAGAAATAAATGACAAGGATTTATTAATGTGTCTCAGGATTTGCAAATCAGAAACACTACCAGGTAACACCCAGATTGTTCTGAAGAATAGAGAGTTCTTACAGTAAAAAGTAAATTCTTGAGAAGAATAGGTCCTGCATTCTTAGCCTCTGGATTGGTCTGAGATAGTAATCTTACAGATGTCTGATGGTCTGAATAATGTATGTCAGCTGGCATGGACACATGAATATTCTTTCCTAAGTTGTTCAGAAGGTTATCTATAGGCTTTATATGTATACAGCCCCCCTCCCGAAAAAAAATGTATACACACTTTAATAGTTGGTAACTCCATTTTGAGAATGAAATGTATTTTAATAAGCCCTGCCTTTGGAATTATCCAAACCCCTGTTTTAAACCCTCCAACTTGATATGTCCTGGGAAGCAAGCATTCCACACAGGGCTATGCTATTATAGCTCTTATTAGGTTTACAGTGAATAGAGAAGGTGGGGTAAAAACATATAGACCCCCAAAGAAAAAATATAGGAAAAAATATATAGTAATTACAACTCTAAAGAAGTAAAACCATGTACACATTGATGAAATGCAAATGTGGGTGGAACTGTCAGAATCACAGGGTTATATTTGTTTTCTTTAAAGAAAAGGACAAACTGGTTATGAAGGAAAGGGCAGTTCAGACTGGTGCAAACATTAATATTGTGTGTTGAGAGTAGCAATTGGGTATTTTGGAATCTAGTAATAAAAAGCGAAGTAGCCAGTAATGAGAGATGTCATGGTAATTAGATATGAAGAAAACACAGGAAGGTAAGAGAAGCATGGGAACATTACTTATGCACGTGGATTTGATATAATTAGGTGATAGGATTATATATAGCAATTGATTTAATTATTTATAAGTACAGGGTTTTGTTTTGTTTTTTAGCAAAAGAGGTACATAAGAAAAATCATAATTAATATGCCTTTTTTTCTCCAATACAAACACTAGATCAGTGTTTCTTAATTGGGAGTGATTTTGCCATCATCTCCTCATCCGACCCCCACTCTGACAATGTCAGTAGACATTTCTGGTCGTCACAGCTGGGGAGGTGGGGTGCTACAAGCATCTGTGGGAAGAGGCCAGGGATGCTGCTCAGCATCTTGCATCGCACAGGACAGCTCCCACAACAAGGAGCCATCCAGCCTCAGATGCCAATTGTACCAAGATGGAGAAGTAAAGTTCTTATATTTAATTAAAAGATCTAAGAACTAGGTCAGAGGCCTCTAGTCCCTTGTTTGACATGATCAATCTCTTCTTTCATCAAGTTACCCACAAGGCTAATATGAAGAGTAAAGATAAAATTAGTTACATTCAATTGTAGGAATATTCCAAATTGCACATTCTGCTCTTAATAGACTCTGTGTTTCCAACCATCAACATGGATGATTCTCAGAAACATAATGTTGAATGACAAAGCAAGTCAAGTAAGAATATATTCAGTGTGATACCAGTTACAGAAAATTTGAAAACAAGCAAAACTACACAATATGTTATTTAGGGATATATAAGTTATATGAGGAAAATTAAGAATGATAACAACAATATCATTCAGGATAGCATTTATGTCTGCAAAGAAGGAAAATGAACTTGGATAAAAGCACAGGGGACTCTTAAATATATTGATTACATTCTAATTTTTAGAGTAGGTAGTGGGTTGAGTGAAGTTACTGTACTTTATAGTTTACATAAATGTCATATATTCCCTTGGGGGTATCAAAAATCACATAATACAAACAATCATAAAATTCAGTTATTGAGCGTTGGCCTGTGGACTGAAGGGTCCCAGGTTCAATTCCAGTCAAGGGCACATGCCAGGACTCGGCTCCATCCCCAGTGGGGGATGTGTAGGAGGCAGCCGATCAATGATTCTCTCTCATCATTGATGTTTCTATCTCCCTCTCCCTCTCCCTTCCACTCTGAAATCAATAAAAATATATTAAAATAAAATAAAATTCAGTTATATCAGTGCAATGGCCACTGAAGATTTTTCCTTTAAATTTTATTGCCCCCTGCAGGTTAATACTAGGTACTGCAAAGAACTGTCTTTCGAAAACCGAATGAATGAACATCAAAATAAATGAACTCTGCAAGGCATTTGGGATATAAACAAATACAAAAGGCTGGGTTTCTGCTCCAGCCATGCTTAAAATGCATTTGTGGATAAATAACATCCAGAACACATTAAGGAAATAAACAATATAGCACACAATATTATATTTAAGGGCCCCTTTGTCAGTGTCATACTTAAATAACAGAAACAAATGATATTTTACAGCATGAGAAACTGATTTAGTTTACCATCAGAATCCAACCCCTTTTTAAAAAAATTTCTTTATTGATTAAGTTATTACATATATGTCCTTAACCCCACATTACCCCCCCCTCCCCTCCCCCGACTCATGCCCTCACCCCGCTGTTGTCTGTGTCCATTGGTTAGGCCTATATGCTAGAATCCAACCCCTTGACTTGATTCTTCCTGCCACTATCTTAGGCCAGGCCTCAGTTACTTCATGCCAGTTACCACCTGGTCTCCTTGTCTCTCCCCTCTCCTCTGTTCTCCCTCGTTTGTTCTAAGCATTGCCGCTAGTCTTAAAATAACTACTTCATATTAGAAGCTGTTCATGTTCTCCATCTACATTTCCACCAGACCGTTGTGCCCAATTTCACCCTATCTAGAAATCCTGGAACTGCCATTATCTTTGAGGGAATGCTTTCTCTGAATTCCTAAAGCACTTACTGTTTGTATCATTTATTTGCCATTTTCACACATTGATACTGCCGGAAGCTGGTCCATCCTTGCTGCTTGACACAGTTGCTGCAGGAAAGAAACATCTGCACAGCATATGTTTCAAGGGACCTGGCGTATATAGCATACTGTTCTTAATATGTTTGCTCCCCTTAGCGCTATGTGTTTTAACCAAGGTCATCTCTCCGAGAAAGGTTGTTTCCCCAGGTAGGG